TCTCCCAGAGGACACTCACAGCAGGCAATGGAAATCATGTAGTCAGGGAAGGGTCTTGCTTTTCATCTCACCTGAGGTTATAGGCCAGGAAGTGCCAGTAGAAGTGATAGACTCAGGCTCAGCAAGAAGTCTGATCATAATCTAGTGTCCTTCCACCTCACCTTCTGCCTTGCAACCCTAAACTCAGTATCACACCATGACATCCAATCCCTCAACCCTTCAGTTCTTTCCCAGGTCATCAATAGTTACACTCTCCTCCCTTCCCCAAACTGATCCCTTGATGAACTAGGCCAATTCTACGTTCTTCTTCAGTCTCTTATCGTCAAATATTAAGAGTATTGTTGATCTTGCCTTTCCAGCCCTCAAGTTCTGATCATTATCTGTGCTCCAATTAATTTTAGATTTTGATACTTTGTTTTTAATATCACCTAAATTTACTCTAATATCTCTACTTCTATCACACCTCAGAAAGACATACCTTTAATAATCTTTAAGAGAAATATAGAGACAAGAGAAAAAAATCAGCAAAACTAATCAATACATTGAAATTCTGCAGCTAAGCTGTTATCCTTTGAACACCTCATGACTTTGCTCAGTTTCCTATTGTGAAATGCTTGTCATCCCTACTCTTCTGCTAAATTCTTATATCTTCTTTAAAGTCCAAATCAAATGTCACCTCTGTTCAGTAAGCCTCCCCTTTTTCTTCACATAGGGCTTTGGTTATACCCTTCTTGTTTTTATTGTATTATTTTTTATTATAGTTATTTGTGTTTGTGACATATCCTCAAGTCACTGAACAAGTCATACAATGAAGTTTACTTTGCGAAAACATCAGATATGCAACAAGGCTATCTAAAGAAAGGGCCATGTCCTATGAAAGAATGAAAATACAAAAAAGGATGTAAGTGCTAACTTAAATAGTGGGGATACAAAGAGCAAAACAAGACAGAGGGCTCATATTCTAATCGAGGGAGACAACACACCATGAAGGTTCAGCTGCAAAGGAAATGACAAGACCCAGTGGTTCTTAGGATAGATAAGCAGGGTACATGGCAATGCTTAGAGGCTTGAAGGATGTAGTAGCCAGGGGACCATCTTTCTAAAAGAATTGTAGTTGGTGACTACTGGCTCATTAAAGTGACCTGGTCCCAAAACTTTTAAGAAGGGGGATCGAGTTCAAGCCTTATAGTCCAGAGCCTAGACTCTGTACTCCTCACAGTGGTTAAAAATGATGCTGGATCAATGTCCCTCTGTGAAAGAAAAATGGAAAGGACACCCTGGTAAGAAGGTTGGGCATAAGGGATGGTCCTGGTGGAATCTAGGCAAGAGGCACAGAATTACGGAAAAGGCAAGAGGTTGAATCTTGTACTTTCTATGCTGTATATTTTCTCTCAGGTATAGCATGATCCTGCACAGAGTAGATATCAAAAATTGTTTAACTGGGGCAGCTAGGTGGGGCAGTGGATAGAGCACTAGAGTCAGGGGGACCTGAGTTCAAATCCAGCCTCAGACACATAACACTTACTACCTGTGTGACTCTGGGCAAGTCACTTAACCCCAATTGCCTAACCAAAAAAAAAAATTGTTAAACTGAAGTGAGTATAAAGTGATATAATTTATTCTTAATACATTTTGGTTATTATAGTTATGACTAGAACATAGAAAAAGACTATTAAAATGCTTGCTTTCATTCAACTTTGTTTTGTTTCCAGGTTTGTGATTTCATCAATAAACTAAGATTCTCCCTAGTCAAGAGAATTTAAACCAAGGTTCCAATTTATGAGAATGATTGGGTGGGTGGATGGGAGCGGGGTGGCTAATGGGAAAAGTTAAAATTGGAATGGGCGAACCAGAGTTGTCTGTTTTAATTTTCTCTAAATACTCATATTAGTCAAGTAATACTTTATGTGTGACCTTTGCAAGTTACTTTACCCCTCTCTAGGGTTCAGTTTCTTCATCTGTAAAATGTAGATGACACACTCCAAGATCCTGTCAAACCCTACAATTTATAATCTTATCATCATTTAGTACAAGAATGACAGAAAAGAATGAGACACTTTAGGAAACACAAAAATGTGCAAAATGAAACTGCACCACACCCTGAAATTTGAAACAGAAAACACTTTCTTGAATTATTTTATTTGAAAAGTACATTAAGTTGGACATAAAACTAGAACTATTTAAAAATTTCAAAAGCTTCATTTAAAATACTTAAACCAGAAACTTTAATGCAAAATGACACTGTCATTTCCTGTGTTTTGTTCAATGTGATGTATACCAAAATCTCTTCCCAGCGGCAAATGGGTAACTGTCTCATGGAAATTTTGTTCATAGTTATGAAGAATCATTTACTAATCAATTATGGTTCTTTTCACTCTTATATGGTCAAAACTAATTAACTTAAAGTTGAAACTTACACCTTGACTAGAACAATATGAACACAAATAAATACAAAGAATTTTAATTTCACAAGACTGATTACACTTTAAACTCATCCTTATCCTAGCACAATGTTTCTCATGGAAGTGTTTAGCCAAAACAAAACAAAACAAAACAAAAAAGTGATTTGAGAGAAATGGCCCAGACTCAACCAATACTTACTGTTGTTAATTATTGTAAAGATAATTTAACAAATTATTAGAGATGACATTTTAAGTATAAACAAAAGCACACATTTATTGATAATTCTTCCAAGTTCACACAGTATAAACCTACGTTGTTATTGCTGTAATAAACTCTATTGTTAAATGTTGGCTTTATTGGAGCTTTTTTTCTTTTAGATTTAAAACTTGCCCAAAACATTATATTACAGTACTAAACAGAAGGAATGTATGAACACAATGGAGGTATATGTACACTTCTGTAAGCCATAGGAAAAAGTTAAAATTGTGCCAACTCATACATGCTACAAATTATTCCTTGACTAACATTAAAAAATCAACTACATACAATTTCGGCCTTTAAGTCACACTGCATTATAGCTTTTAAAAATGTGGTCTGCACAATTCAAGATGAAACGAAACCACTCATCTCACAAAAGATACTTTAAAATTTCCACCCATGCAAACACAAAAGAAATCTAGAACCTTTTTAAGTTACTTGTGAAAGGAGATGCCACACATATTGAAACCCATCTATTGGCAGACAGATTTCTCTCAAATATGATAAATTTCTTTTACATGAATGGATTTTTCCACTTGAAAATTCTAAGTTTACAAGATTCAATTTTTTTGGGGGGGGTGAGGCAATTAAGTGACTTGCCCAGGGTCACACAGCTACTAAGTGTCAAGTGTCTAAGGCTGGATTTGAACTCAGGGCCTTCTGACTCCAGGGCTAGTGTTCTATCCACTGTACCACCTAGCTGCCCCTAAGATTCAATTATAAAATTATAAAATTGATTTAAATTATGGAGTAGAACTATAGCAAAAGACAGGCAATAGCATGACCATGGTCAATAGGCATGATCCTATTGTCTGCTCTTGTTAAAAAAAAAAAGCCTTAAAAAGAACATAAAAATGAAAAATTTCTTACAAATTTTGAATGCTGGTTCCTGGCTAATTCCCCACGGTTAGAACTAATGTTTTACTTAAGCTGGAAAAAAAAAACTCCCCAGGACAGGATGATCAACCTTACATATCATCCAAATATTACACCTAAAAGTGATTTCTAGTGTTCAGATAACTCCTCAGTAGAAAATAAGGATCAAATCTTGAAGTTATTGTTTCATAATAAATTTCCTACACTAATTTTATTATTAGTCCTAAACTTCTAGCAGTCAAAAGAAATATGAACACAGGAGCCAGGAACATAAGAAAATATCCCTGGGTATTAAAAACACAACAAAAAACTAATTCCTTCAATATATTTAAATAATATTCATAAAGGACATATAGAAAAAAGCAGTATTAAAAGCAAAGCAGAAAGGTATCACAGTGATACACTTTTTAAAAAAAACAGTACCTTCACTCCCTCCCACCCCCCAAGCACCTTTTATGTGATACTTCATGGGCACAAAAATGCTTGATAAATGAGTTTACTGTAAAGGCACAGATGAAAATTTCTCTTACCTCTAATAGGGTATGATAAAAACCATACATACAAAAAAATTAAAGTTAAACATTATAGCCATTTAGTTATACACAGGATACAGTACTTAATTCTAGGTTCACAACAACATTTATTTATGTGTAGTATTTACAACCAAAGCACTCAAACAATTTATCAAGAATGAAGTTCTTATGAAAATCTATGAGAAAAAAAGTGTTGGAGTTAATAAAAAGCAGATCTTATTTGCTAAAGAACTGAAGTCCTAGCATAGTCATTAAAATCTTAAGAAAAAGAGCAACAGAGACATTTTTTTCTAATAAAATTATTTCTCTCATTTCTAACATACTGGTGTTAAAAATCCTTTTTTTCTTAAGTTTGCTAAAAATGATTAATTTTCACAAAACTAAGTAGGAAAATTTCCCAAACCTCAACTTCTCTATTAGTATCACACAAAGCTACTTCTGCAAGATAGTAACATACAAGCTGTAAAAGTATTAATTTACTATATTAGTGGAGGTAAACTTTCTGGAGGTTTTTAAAAAAACATCTCTACCAGAAATTTGATTCAAGAAGGAAAATATGGGTGCACATATTTCTGGGGGAAAAATGTGCCAGAAAAAAAACACTCTTATGTAGGTCTGGTAGGCTTATTCTATAATTGTATTACAAAACAAATCACATTAGCCTGAATGAAGCAGGCAGCCAAATGAAAAGGGTGCAGGTACAACCCTATCTAATCAGTCTGGGCTAGCTAGTTCAAATATTAAGTGCACATATGGCAACAAACCATGTTCCTTAACACACTGCATCCCCTAATTTGCAGTCCTGATCATCGTGGGTAAAATGTTTGTTGCCGGCTACACGAGGTAGACTAGATAATAGTGTGGATGGCTTTTCATAAAAACTATTGCCATATGTGTGACTTCTTTAAAAAGAACAGTGCACTAGTAGAATCTGCCAGCTGCTCCTTTATTGCTAAATATAGCCAGAAAGCAAAAAACAATTAGCTACTCACTTGTAGCATTTCCATGTGTTAAAACATTTAAAGAAATCATTTCACCAAATTAATTAGATGACAGAGCTCAGCTAGCTCACCTAGTCATTGCTGGTATTCTTTCAGTAAGATGTTCAAGACACACCCTTCACTTAAACTGATTCCAAAAACAGTAATTTTACAATTTTAAATTAGTTATTTTTGACATTCTTTTCAACTTTTTGTAGGGCTTACATTGTTTGCTACAGAAAATGGCTGAGAAAACAGTAACAGTAACAGTAAATCTTGCTTTTCTTGGTATACATATAGAATAGTAGACATTAAGTATCAGTAAAATCAGTTGTTTCTAAAGGAACCTAAGACAATACGCTTTCATCTGGAAATTCAATTCTACCCCCTCTTCTACCAGGAGATTTTATCTGATCTCTTTGTGATAACAATAGCTACTATTTATGTAATACTTTAAACTTCACAAAGCACTCTATATATGTAGCATTTGTTCCTCACAACAACCCTGTGAAACATTTGAGGAAATAAGCTAAAAAAAAGTTACAAGACTTGTAGTTTTTAAGTGTCTGATGTAGGATTCAAACTCTTGTCAATTAAATAATGTTTCTTGAAGATCATCTTTTTATTAGTCCAGATTAAATTATTCTATTTCTTCAAAAGCAATTTTTAGGTTGGCAGCTTTTTCCTATTTTCAGAGAAGAAAAAAGTCTGAAGAAACAAAGTTTGAGATGCTTTATACTATTGACCCATCTTTGCTTTGTGCTGGTATCATCACAGGAATAGCTCCCATTCTACTTAGATTAGATGCTGCTACCTTAGTTGGTTGGAAACTCGGGCTCTGTGGAGTACGATCAAAGTCTTCACTTGGTACTTGGTTATACTGAGCTTTGGAATAGCCTTCTATGTTGGAAGGAGACATTGATCCCAGAGATGAATGATTGCTACCAATGTAGCTTCTGGCTGTCGATGTACGGCTCTTTGGAGGAGGAACATCCTCTCTAGAAATGAAAGTCCAGATATAAACATTTTAAAATTAAGCTTATAATTATGCAAACTTCAATCTATGTTTTAAGATGTATCATAATAGTGTGTACCATACTGGGGGGAAAAGTAGGAAATTTATGAATTATATTTCTATTTACAAGGTTATCCTCTAATTTGCTTAAGAAATTAAATTCTGCATTCTATTAGTTGAGCAAGCAAAGAGTAAATGCACAACTCCAAGATCTTGTGACTTAAGGATGTTTGAACTTTGTAAGTCATACATTCAAACCAGCAAACCACACTCAAAAAAAGCTTTTAATCTGATAAAATTAAAAATTAAAAGATCTTAGTTAAATAATTTGCTGTGCAAATACAGTACAAATGCAGTAACATACTAACTTTACTGAACCCTAGACCAGGAACACCTTTTCAGGTCATACAAAAATGATATCACTATACCTTCAATCCTTCTGAGGAATTACACACCTATACTAATTCACTAACCTCCCTGTCTACACACAATTACAAAAATTAATTGTACAACACATGTTTTTGAAAACTTACTGGCAGTGTGGTATGGTGAAAAAACACTAGATTTGGAGCCAGAAGACGAGTTCAAATTCTGACTGCCACTTGCTCAATATGAGGTAGGCCTCACTTAAACATATGTACAGAGATAGGTCAAAATCAGTCAATGCTAATATGAGAAAATAGTATGCAATCCTCAGGGAAGATCAAAAGACCTGTGTTCAAATATTTTTTTTTTAGGGGCAGCTAGGTAGCACAGTGGATAGAGCACTGGCCCTGGATTGAGGTAGACCTGTGTTCAAATCCGGCCTTACACACACAACACTCACTGGCTACGTGTCCCTGGGCAAGTCGCTTAACCTCAATTGCCTTGCGCAACAAATGAATGAATAAATAAATAAATAAAGTTAGGGGAAAAAAAAATTTCTTTTACTAAATAGCTATGTGTGACCTTAGCCTATTCACTCACCTACTCCAACCCATAGTTCTTTGGATCAGTAAAATTAGGTTATTAGGTTAGATAATCCTTCAAGCTCTTTCGAATTCTAAATTCTATGATGCTAAGTTGAAGCAAAGACCTCAGTGATCAAATTTTTACTAATATTTAGCAAAAGTAAGTAAATTATTGATTAAAATGTTGACATTCACTATTTAAGATTTCAGCATTGTAGTTAATTGTACCTCTTATAGAAGCTTTTTTAATGGAATTGTTTATTTGGGGAAAGCTTGTTTCCAAAGGTTACCTGATATCATGATGAACTTCTTTTTCATATTTTTCCTCCTTGTGTTTTTTACAGCAGCAAAAGATTAGAAGACCCAACAGCAACAGGGCACACAAAGTTCCTATGACAGCTCCAGCAATTGTACCAGCAGTGTTTGAAGCTACAACAATTAAGATAATTAATAATTAATAATACAATAATTAAGAACACCTTTTACAAGGACTTTGGACTGAAATGACTACAAATAGCAATTTAACTTCCCTTCCTATCCAGCAAGTTAACTGGCATAATTTTTCTATACACATTTTTCCATTTAAAATAATTATTTGCATAATTCTAATAGTGGAACACAAGTTAATTTGATGCCTTCCCCACCAAAAAAAAAAAATCACCATAATGAATGATAAGAACAATGTATTAATAAAATATTCTCTTTAAGCTGGGAAGGTAAAACGCCATCTGATAAAACTCTCTGATCTCATACACACACATGAAAAAAAAAAATCTTTTATCCTACCCTCTTCATACCACCCCAAAATCTGCCCCATTAACAAATCAAATTAAGGGGCATACCAAGAAATACTTTAAAAATGGAATATGAAATGAATACAAAAACTTATTATTAATTGCCAGAAAGATGAGAAATAGCAAGTGTCTGGAGATAGGCACCTGGCAGTGGCAATAGAATATCTGAGTTCAAATCCTGCCTCTGACTGGCTATATGAACATGGGACACTATTTAATCCCCTGGGCTGCTCTCTAAGATTATGAGATGATAGGTCATAGACCAGTTGCAAAGGTAGTAAAATCAAAGGTGGAGGTGACACCCTCTTCCCTCCCCTCCTCCCCTCCCCTGGTAAATATAAAGAATATACTTACGAGGAACAACATTCACCCTCAAAAGGCATTGATCAACACCAACTCTGTTTTTAACTGTACAGCTGTATGTGCCAGAGTACTCTGTAGTGGCATTTCGTACAGAAATAATAGATGGGTTGAGATCTATGGGTAGAAAAACAGATTATTTTCTTAACTATTTTTGAAATACAACTTTATTACTTGGGAAAGGAGGCTGTATATTGTCCAAGACTGCAGAAAAGTTTAAAAAAGAGAGATCTTTAAGGTAAACAAAATACAGAAGCACCCCATGATAAGTACACTCTATCTAGACAAAAAGTGCTGGGAAAACCGTAAAGCAGTCTGGCAAAAATATTAGCAAATAACACACTACATTAACCCTAGCAACTACCAACTAACACCCTACATTAGAATAAGCTCTAAATATCCATGACCTAAATATAAAAGGCCATATAATTTTTTTAAAAAATTAGCGGAGAAATGAAACTTTCACATCTATGAATGGAAGAGAATTCTTGATTTAAAGGGGCATAAAAATAATCACAAAAGATTAAAAAAAAACAAGTTTTATTACATAAAGTTGAAAAGTTTGTGCACAAGCAAAATCAATACACTCAGGAGTAGGAAGGAAGTCATTAAGCAGGGAAAAATATAACAGATTTTTCTGATAAGAAGTAACAATATCACAGATGTGAAGCTGTAGGCAACTCTAGAGGCCTCTTCTTAACAGATGAAGAAACTAAAGTCCAAAGAAGTTAAACTGCTCACCAAAAGCCACAGGTGGCAAGGGAGACACTTTCTGCTATGCCACTCTACCTTCTCATCTGATATTCAAAATACAGGTATCCGTTTCACATTGCAACTTTCCCCATCGTGGTTTCATTATATTGTGAGTCAGTATATGAAAATATATGGGGATTTTGGGGAAGTTGTGCCAAAGCTGCAGATGACATGCAAAGGCCAGTAGACAACATAGAAAAGGTTCAGAAATGCATACAATATACATATAGTATTATATAATATCAACATATTTTATCATTTAATACCATAATAATTCAGACTTCTTCTCTGGTATGAAAGGCCAAAAAAATTTTACCTGGATTTTTCAGATTGCAGGGGCACTGTGCCCCTGACCCTTTCGATGTGGAAGGGATAACTGTATATAGAAGGAAATTGATACAAATATTTAAGAATAAGGAATAATTTCCCCAAGAGATAAATGGCCAAAGGATACAAAATGTCATTTTTCCAATGAGAAATACAAGCTATCAACAATCACATGGAGGCTGATTGCCTACCTCCCACGTAACTAGTTCAGCAAAACCTTGAAGTGTGCATCAGACTGAATAATGATAATATTAACTGAACTAGAGCAATTCCATTCCAGAGATGCTTAAGAGGTCAGCCAGAAGCTCACATGTAATAGGAAAGAAAGGGGGCCCACTAGCAAAGAAACTACTGATATATGGTAGCCTTCAAGTCCAAATAGACCAAGGACAGGTGTAGATTGCAAGGCCTTGTCCAAGCAGGAGGCTTCCTTGAGAAAAGTCCCAAGGTGGTCTGAAAGCCCTGGAGCAGGGACCTTGTAGTCACAGCAAACACAAGTGAGGGGTTGCAGTTCTCAAAACAGGACCTCTGAGGATAAGAGCTGTAACATAACAAGACCTCTGTCTTAAGGAACCAGTGAAGGGTCTCAAGATGCAATGGTCTAACCTCACAGATCCAGGGAGGTAACTCCAGGAGGGATCAACAGAGGAACCCAAGAAACCAGTGCAAGATATCACCCAACCAAAAATCAAAATTTTCGGTCAGTCAGTCTGTCTCCTTCTCCTTTTATCTATCTACCTCCCAAAAGGAGGAACTACATAAGATCTTCAAACAGTGATTCAAAGGAGGAGAAAAAAAAAAAAAGACTTTCCGCTACATGAATTACTACCAGATTACATGAATTATCACCAGAAAAACAAAAGATTAAAAATGAAATAAAATGAAGAACTAAAAGAAGAATAAAGTAAAAATTTCATCAAGATGAAAAAAGGTGTGTGTGGGGGGAACTCTCTTCTGTCTCTCTACTACCTCACTTGGTGATTTAATTCGCTCCATGGATTTAATAATTATCTCTGTGCTGATGATTTTAAAATCTACCTACCCTCCTCTGTAGACTTCCAAAACTTTTTCATTCATTTTGAACTGGATTGTCCAGTAGACATAAAATTTTAAACTCAATGTGAAAAACTTATCTCATTTTCCCTCCTAACCTTACTAGTACAGTTGAATTCAATGCCATCCTCCCAATCCCTCAGGTTTGCAATTCAGGCTCAAGGCCTCCTGATTTTTACCTTTGCAGTATCTTTCAAATATGTATTCTTCTCTGATACTGCCACCCCCTAGTATAGGTCCTCATGCCTGGATTCAACAGTCTGCTAATGGGTCTGCCTGCCTCAAGTCTCTCCCTACTCCAACAAATGCTTGTTGAGTGACTGACCATTAAACATTCCAAGGAGCATGAACAGATAGTTCTCATAAGAAGAATGATAAACTATTAGCAAGGCTGGGAATGGTAGTCCATGCCTATAAGCCCTACTATCACGAAGGCTGAGGCTAGTACATCAAGGCTTGGGGATCTCTTGATCTCAGGAGTCTGAGCTATAGTAGGCTAAGCCAATTGGGTGTCCACACTAAGTCCAGCAACCAACGGTAAGCCACCATGAATGGGGCTGGGGTGGGGGTGGGAGAGAGGGGTACATGAGGCTAGGGAGAGACAAATGGTTGGAAACAACATATCCAAACTTCCATGACGAAAAGTAATGGTGATTGAGCCCATGGCTGGTCACTGCCCTTCCATGACAAATGAGATAGGGATGAGATGGGGAGATCTAGTCTTGGAAAAAAACAACACAAAAATAAATTAACAATCATATAAAAAAACTGCTATATCACTAATAATAATAAGACTGAAAACCAAAATAAATCTCATACATATTAAATTGTCAAAGATGACCACAGTCAATGCTGGAAAGAAGAGAAGCACACTAATACACTGTTGGTGAAGCTGTGGACTGGTACAACCCTTTCGAAAACAATTTGGATTAAATTAAAAAAAAAAAAAGAGGAACAAAAGTAGCCATTGTCTTAAGAGATTATGAGTGCTAGGTATATATCATCAAAGAGGTGGAGAAGTAGGATAAAGTGCTGGGCCTGGAATCAGGATGATTGGTTCAAATCTAGCCTCAGACACTTACCAGCTGTGTAACCCTGGTCATTTGACCTTTGTCAGTTTCCTCATCTATAAAATGAGATAATTATAGCACCTACTCTGAATGAGATAATAAAGGTCTTTGTAAACCTTAAAGTGCTTGCTAGATGTTGCTGTTATTATTATGGTTGTTGTTATTGACAGAAAGATCCCATATGCATCAAAATATTCATAGTAAAACTTTTTATGGTAGCAAAGAATCAGAAATAAAGTAGATGTTCATTGATTGGGGAATGGCTAAACAAATGGTGGGTTGCTGTTCAGTTGTTTTCAGTTGTGTTAAACTCTTCTTGACCCCATTTGGAGTTTTCTTGGCAGAGAAACCAGAGTGGTTTGCCATTTCCTTCTCCACCTCATTTTACAGGTGAGGAAACTGAGGCAAACAGGCTTAAGTGACTTGCCCACTTAAAAAGAGTCTACTGTGCATAGGTTTATATTGTCACAGACTTGGATGATTCCTTCTCTCTCACCCCCTGTCTTTTTTACTCTTCGTTATAAGTAATGACTGTGTGTGTAGGGGATTATTGAGGGATATGAAGAGAATGAAAGGTGATATAAAAAGAAAAGACATCAATAACATTTTAAAAGAACAGTTTCTTTCCAATTATCTTGCCTGTGAAAGAAACATATAATCCTTTTGAGGTTTTCTAATAAGTATTATTATTATTACCGGGGTATGAGTAAACATTTTCCTTCCATTTCCCTCCCCTCTACTCCTCAACAAACATTTAAACAACCAGAAACAAACTTCATGTGCATTTCAATGAGTTCCTTAAAGAATGGGGGAATAGGCAAAAAGTGAGATAGGACAGGGACTACAGATACTACTGTGGAAACTAAGGTTAAGTGGAAGCATCGTCTTACTTTCCCATAATTCCTGTCACTACAGACCCCAGCCTTGAAAAATCAATGAATATCAGGGCAGCTAGGTGGCGCAGTGGACAGAGCACCGGCCCTGAAGTCAGGAGGACCTGAGTTCAAATCTGGTCTCAGACCAAACACTTGACACTTACTAGCTGTGTGACCCTGGGCAAGTCACTTAACCCCAAATGCCTTAAAAAAAAAAAAAAAAGAAAGAAAATAAATGAATATCAACTTAAAAGATAAGGACTGGAGGGCATTGAGAGTGGGGGTAAGTGGGGCAGCACACCTCAAGCAATGACAGAAAAAAGAAAGAAAATAAATGAATATCAACTTAAAAGATAAGGACTGGAGGGCATTGAGGGTGGGGGTAAGTAGGGCAGCACACCTCAAGCAATGACAGAAGTGAAAAAGAAGGTCCATGATTGAGATATAAAGGCTGACACTATAAGCAAACTGAGAGAGCAAGGAATAGTTTACCTGTCAAATTTATGGTGAACAGAAGAATTTATGACCAAACAAGAGATAGAGAACATTATGAAATGCAAAATAGATAATTTTGATTACATTAAATTGAAAAGTTTTTGCACAAACAAAGCCAATGCAACCAAGATTAGGAGGGAAGCAGAAAACTGGGAAGGAATTTTTACAACCAGTGTCTCTGATAAAGGCCTCATTTTTAACATATATAGAGAACTAAGTCAAATTTATAAGAACACAAGTCATTCCCCAATTGATAAATGGTCAAAGGATATAAACAGGCAGTTTTCAAATGAAGAAATTAAAGCTATCTATAGTCATGAAAAAATGCTCTAAATCACTATTAATTAGAGCAATGAAAATCAAAACAATTCTGAGGTACCACATCACACCTATCAGATTGGCCAACATGGCAAAACAGGAAAATGATAAATGTTGGAGATGGGGGGAAATTGGAACATTAATACATTGTTGGTGGAGTTGTAAAATGATCCAACCATTTTGGAGAGCAATTTGGAAATATGCCCAAAGGGCTATAAAAATGTGACCCTTTGACCCAGCAACAGAATTTCTAGGTCTGTATCCTAAAGAGATCATAGAAATGGGAAAAGGACCCACATGTACAAAAATATTTATAGCAGCTCTTTCTGTGGTGGCAAAGAATTGGAAACTGAGGGGATGCCTATCAATTGGGGAATGGCTGAAAAAGTTGTGGTATATGAATGTAATGGAATAGTATTGTGCTATAAGAAATGATGAGCAAGCAGACTTCAGAAAAACCTGGAAACACTTGTATGGTCTGATACTGAGTGAAGTGAGCAGAACCAGGAGAACATTGTACATAGTCACAGCCATACTGTGTGATGACTGACTGTGACAGACTTAGCTCTTCTCAGCAATTCAAGGATCTAAGACATCTCCAAAAGTCTCATGATGGAAAATGCTAGCCACATCCACAGACAGAATTATGGAGTTTGAATGCAGATCAAAGCATACTATTTGCTTTTTTTTCCTTCAGTTTTGTTTTGTTTCTTCTTTCTTGTGGTTTCTCCTATTGGTTCTAATTATTATTATTATTGTTATTTTTTTGGCTAGGCAATGGGGTTAAGTGACTTGCCCAGGGTCACACAGCTAGTAAGTGTTATGTGTCTGAGGCTGGATTTGAACTCAGATCCTCCTGAATCCAGGGCCAGTGCTATATCCACTGTGCCACCTATGGGTCCCTCTAATTCTTCTTTACAACATGACTAATGTGAAAATAAGTTTAACAGGAATGTATATGTAGAGCCTTATCAGATTGCAAGCTGTCCTGGGGAGAGAGGGGGTAAAAAATTTAAAACTCAAAAGCTTATGGAAGTGAATGTTGAAAACTAAAAATAAATTAATAAAAATTAAAATAAAGAAGTGAAAAAGAAGGGAATGGAAGAAAGGTCTTTAAGAATAACAATAGCTGAGAGGGCATTTCCATTTGGTTGAATCTGGGTAGGGTATCTTTTCCTGGGTATTATTTTAAGAACAGAATTCAGGGACTATCTCTTTTTGTGACCAAATATGAGTAATCAGTAAAAATGATAAATACAAGACTATCGTCTCTTTTGAAAGTGTAAAACTTGAATTCTGTCAATTTTCATATTATTTTAATAATTGTATACAAGCATAACGTATTCACAGTGTGCTTTTTGTAATATATCCTTAAAACAACTCTGTAATGTCGATGGTAATTTTACTTTGTCTTCATTCCCATTTAAAAATTGAGGAAGTTCAAGTTCAGTGAAAAAGACAAAATTAATGACTTACCTAAGATAACACAGCCAGGCTTTTAACTGAGAACCAGACTCAACTTCTAGATGCAAAATTTAATATTCTTTTCATTATAAATACACATCTGTCCCAAGACAATCTCAAAAGACACATGATGAAAAATGCCATCCACCTCCAGAGAAAAAGCTACTGTTGTTTGAATACAGACTGAAGCATACTATTTTTTTACCTTCTTTTTGTCTTCTTGTACAAAATGATTAATATGAAAATGTTTTACATGATTGTACATGTACAACCTATATCAGACTGCTTACCTTATTTGAGGAGGGAGGGAAGGGATAGAATTTGGAACTCAAAACTTAAAAAAAAAAACAAAAAACAAAAACCACAATGAATGGTGATAAGTGATTTGTTATTTAGCTGTTAATAAGTAACTTGTCTGAACCAATTTCTCATTTCATAAATGGGGTTATGTAAGTGTCTCTAAAAAAGCAAATTTTTTTAGCCAAGTAAATAGACAGTCTATACTCTAAAATATAAACAAATAAATTACAGTATTAGCAATACCTGAAAAGGACACAGCAGGAAATTTTTCTGTGTTGGGCAATTTTTGCCATTCATAGTATAAAGGAAGTGAACCTTCTCCTGATTCACATCTTATTTTAAAATCACTGCCAATCTCTGATGATCCATCAATGTAACATCTTGTTCCTGAAGGCTTAACTGAAAAAGAAATTGAATCATTTAATTAATTTGTTTTATTTAATACTCTCCTTTTACCCAAGAGTATATATACACACACATACGTATAATTTATATTTTTTGAAGTAAAAAATACATTAAAAATTTCAGGATGTATCTATATCTACATAGTTATTTATTACTTATTCCAAAAAGTCTTCCTTAGCTTAATTCCATTTCTGCTATTCAGTGAAAGAAGAATAGAGCAGGAAATACTTAGACCAGTGTCATTTAAGACTCTGGTTTCCTATAAAGTTTCTCCCAAAGCTCCATGATGGTAATGAAGGCAAATAGAAGACAAGCACAGTAACAATTTTAGCTCCTCAAGTTGACTTGAAAGCTGCTTCCCCTCCACCCCCCAAAAAGCATAAGTATGTCCTTTCATATTTTATTACTCTAAAATTCAACATCCATTCCATTGATTAGAGGAGAATTTTAGGTGTCCTGGGATATCCATCATAATGCTTAAAAAAAAATCCATAAAGTTGACTTCTCTGCCTCTTATAAAACAATGTTGTCTCCTTCCTCAGTTATCTTAAAAGAGTAATCATTAAAAACAGGGCTGTGGGTGACATAGTACGGACACCCTCCCCCACCTCATTCCCAGTTCTGCTTCTTTCTTGCCATAACAATGCCATAAGACCGCCATCTGCTTCTTACCTGGGATCATCTCTAGGCTCCTGCAGCCCCTGCCTCCAAATGCTGAGTTCATGAACACAGGATTTGGATATTTGCCTGTATTTGTATTCCCAGTGCCCATCACATAGTAAAGTGCTTAAAAAATACTTATGATGTGATGGAAAATGCTATCCACATCCAGAAAAAGAACTATGGAGTCTAAATGCAGATTGAAGCATACTATTTTTTTGTTTGTTTGTTTTTTCTTTTTTGTGGTTTTCCCCTTTTGTTCTGATTCTTCTTTCACAACATGACTAATGTGGAAATATGTTTAATATGATTGTACATATATAGCCTATGTCAGACTGCATGTCATCTTGGGGAGAGGAGGGAGAAAATTTAGAACTCAAAATCTTATAAAACTGAATGCTGAAAACTAAAAATTAATTAATCAAAGAAAAGATAAAATACTTACAATGACTTTTTTTTTAGACATGAATACCTCAAATCCTATCCAAGCCTATTCTAGGAGCTAATCTTTCTAAGTAAATGAAAAATCAGTTTCCAGATACATAAAAGAATAAGGGTAAAAGTCAATTAATGTCAAAGTAAACAATGACAATAGACATGCAATATTGTCAGAAAGCTTCCCCAAAACAAAGTATTACAAGAAAGTAATGTTCATGAAATTCTACATTAGAACCTTCTGCTAATGCACATCTTATTCATGCTTACTCACATTTCACTCTTCTAATACCCATCAATGTTAAATTTTGTCCCTGAAGATTTAGTAAAAAAAAAGCAGAGGGCTTCTACATTTTCAGGTTAATTAGGACTTGTTCCAACATCACCACAAAATGATAAAATGTTGTAGAAGTACATTTCTAATTTTGCATCTCAAGTTCTATAATCTCTCAGAGACTATCTAGAATAGACCTGTATCTACTAGGAAACTGAGGCCCACCTAGAATAGCGAATTTTCCCCAAGGTCTCACAGCTAGTTGGAGGGAGACTGGATTAGAACCATAGTCTTCTATTGGTCTCTGCCCTTTCCATCATACCATATTATTATTTTTTATTTTTTGGTGAGGTAATTGGGGTTAAGTGACTTGCCTATGGTCACACAGCTAGAGTCAAGTGTTTGAGGCTGGATTTGAACTCAGGTCCTCCTGACTCCTGGGCTGGTGCTCTATTCACTGCGCCACCTAGCTGCCCCTCTATCATATTACACGTGATAGAGGACTCTGGAGGAGTCCTTCCATTCTTCACTGTGGAAGCTCATCTTTGTTGTTGTTCGATTTTATCCAACTTTTCATGACCTCAGACTCTTCTATCCTTTACTGTCTCCTGACATCTGTTCAGGTTCATGTTCATTGTTTCCATGATGCTATCTAACTACCTCACTCTCTGCCATCCCCTTTTCCTTTTGCCTTCAATGTTTCCCAGTATCAGGGGCTTTTCCAGTGGGTCCTGTCTTCTCATTATGTGACAAAAGTATTTAAGTTTAAGTATCTGAAACTTCCAATGAGTAGTCTGAATTAATTTAAGTACTTTCTTTTTTTTTTTTTTTTTTTGCTGAGGTGATCAGGGTTAAGTGACTTGCCCAAGGTCACACAGCTCGTAAGTGTTAAGTGTATGAGGCTGGATTTGAACTCAGGTCCTCCTGATTCCAAGGCCAGAGCTCTATTCACTGCGCCACCTACCCGATTTCTTTAAGTACTAAGCGATTTGATTTCCTTGCTGTCCAAGAGACACTCAAAAGTCTTCTCCAGTACCACAATTTGAAAGCATCAATTCTGCAATGCTCAGCTTTCTTTATAGTCCAATTCTCACAGCCATATGTTGCTACTGGAAAAACATAGCTTTGACTATAGAGACTTTTGTTAGCAAAGTGATGTCTGTTTTTCAGTATACTGTCCAGATTTGCCATAGCTTTCCTTTCAAGTAGCAAGCATCTTTTAATTTCATGACTGCAGTTACTCTCTATAGTGTCTTTGATCCCAAGAATATAAAATCTGACATTACTTCCATTTCTTCTTCCTCTTTTTGCCGGGAAGTGATGGAACCAATTGCCAAGGACTTAAGGTTTTTTGATGTTAAGCTTTGAGCCAGCTTATATACTCTTCTCTTTCACCCCCATCAAGAGGCTTTTCATGCTTCCTCACTTTCTGCCAGAACGGTATTGTCTGCATATCTGAGATTGTTGGTATTTTCCCCGGCAACCTCAAATTTGGCTTTTGATTTGTCCAGCCCAGCATTTCACATTATGTATTCTGCACATAAGTTAAATAAGGTGACAACATACAACCTCCTTTCCCAATCTTAAATCAATCAGCTGTCCCATGTTCAGTTCTGTTACTTTCTGACCCACAGACAGGTTCCTCAAGAGACAAATAAGATGATCTGGTACTCTCATCTCTGCGAGAACTTGCCACATTTGTTGTGTTCCACACAGTCAAAAGCTTCAGTGTGGTCAATGAAGCAGAAGTAGATGAGTGGATGTTTTTAGTGGAGCTCCCTGGCTTTCTCCACAATGAAGAGAACGTTGGCAATTTGGTTTCTTATTCTTCCGCCTTTTCTAAAACCAGCCTGCTCTTCTGGTAATTCTCATATTGCTTAAGCCTAAGCTTGCTGGCCTGTGAAATGAGTGCCATCTTATTCCTTATTGCATGTAAAGATCAAGTAAAAGTTTATTTTTAATAAACTTCTATAAATGAAATACATTTAAGGCAAAAATCACTCATTTTTAAGATACCTTATGCACTCCATAAATCAGAAGTCTTTACAATCCTCCCTATTTCCCTAAACAAAACCTCAAGTTTTCAATCATTTTAATTTCAGCATTCTGGAAGTAGGGACTTACACGTTCTGACTGTCACACAAAAAGCATGGAAGCTTTAAAATGATTAAAATTACTATTAAAACTAGAGAGATTTTGACTGAAATCCCATGACAGCATCTATCGCTACTTTAAAAGATCTTAAAAAAAACTTACCAAGCACAGAAAGCTGCATCTTTTTGTTTGCAACACCAGGAAGTTTTTTTACTTTGCACTGATACGTGCCCACATCTGATAATTGTAAATTTGTTATATTTATTGATGCATCACCTAATTTGGGATCACTGCTTGTAAAATAAACTCGTCCTTTTAGATCTTCAGAATATATATCATAAATGTTGCCTCCAGAATATAAAATTATCTAAAATGAAAGGGGAAAATAACAACTGTTTCATTAAGTTGGCCAATATACCAGTTTTACAGTAAAAAAAAGCACATATACCAGTAAAAAACAAAAACAGAAACAAAAAACTGCAGTAGCATGGAAAAGCTACTATTGCCTTTTCTGGAATATGCTAAAATGGGAACATCAAATTAAAAATGAATTAAAATCAATAAAAGTTATACGATTAAAATGTATAAATATAAAAATGATGGAATTATTTAGATCATAGGAAGGCAGACTTAGAGTTAGAAGAGACATTAGAATTCAACTGCTCTAAACTTTATTTTAAAAGTCAGGGAACTGAAGGCCAGGCTGGTAAAATGACTTACCTGAAGTCACTCAACTAGGAAGGAAGAGGGCAAAGACTCAAATGAGTTTACAAATCCAGTGCTCTTTCTGCTATAATTCAAATGGTACATGGGGAAATCTACTTTTTCTTCAACAAATAAACAAGAACCCCAACCATCCCTTTTCAGGGTTTGTATTCAGTTTAATTCAATAAACATTTATTAAGTGCCTGCTATGTTCTAGACACTGTGCTAAGCACTGGAGATTAAAAAAGAGGCAAAAGACAATTCCTGCCCTCAAGGAGACTAAAATCTAATGAGGGAGACAACATGTAAACAAATATATACAAAGCAAACTATATACAGGATATAAAGGAACTAATTAACAAAGGGAAGGCACTGGAATTAAGAGGGGTTGGGGAAGGTTTCCTGTAGCAGGTGGGATTTTACTCGGGGATTTAAAGGAAGCCTGAAACAAGGAGAAGCTTTCATGCAGGGACAGCCAGAGATAATGCCCAGAACCAACAGATGGGGAGTGCCTTGTTCAGGGGTGGGGAACCTACAGCCTCGAGTCCATACGTAGCCCTCTAGGTCCTCAAGTGCAGCCCTTTGGCTGAATCCAAACTTCACAGAACAAATCCCCTTAATAAAAGGATTTGTTCTGTAAAACTTGGACTCAGTCAAAAGGCCACAACCAAGGACCTAAAAGGCCACAAGTTCCCCACCCCTAGTTTATTCTTAGAAGAGCCAGGAAGCCAACTGTCACTGGATCAAAGAGTAATGGGGAGTGAGATATAAGAAGACTGGAAAGCTAAGAGGGTGCCAGGTAATAAAGGACTTTGAATGCAAAATAGAGCATTTTGTATGGTGGCAATAGGAAGCCACTGCAGTCTGAGTAGAGGGGTAACATGATCAGACCTGTGTTTTAGGAAAATCACTTTAGATGGAGAATGGTTTGGAGTGGGGAGAAGCACAACAGTGCGCTATTTGCAGTAATCCAGGACGATGGTGATGAGGGCAGTGGCGGTGTTCAAGAAAAGAAGGGGGCATTTAAAAAGATGTTACAAAGGTGAAATCAATAGGCCTTGACAAAATATTGGAAGTGGGAAGTGAGATACAGAGTACTCAAGGATGACTCCTACCTTGCAATCTGAGGGAGATGAGGATGGTGTTGACCTCTACAGTAAGTAATAGGGAAAGCAGGATGGAGGAAGGGTTTGGGGGAAAGACAATGAGTTCTATTTGGACTTTGTGAATTTAACATGTCCACTGGCTTCTCCAGTTCAAGATATCTAAAAGGCAGTTGGAGATTGGAGACTGTAGGTGGGCAGAGAGACTGGGGCAAGAAAGGTAGATTGAGAATCATCAGCATAAAGATGGTTATTAAACCAAGTGAAATTACTAGTACAGAGGGGAGAAAAAAAGAAACAGGATAAAACCTTGTGGGACACCTTCAGTTAGAGGGCGTGATTTTGAGAAAGAACCAACAAAGGAGGAGTGGTCAGATAGGTAGGAAGGAACACAAGAAAGAGTAGCATTCAGAAAACCCAGAGAGAAGAGAGTTTTCAACAGTGTCGAAGGCTGGAGACAGGCCAAGAAGAATGAGGACTGAGAAAAGGTAACTGGATTTTGCAACTAAGACATTAGGAGAGAGCAGTTTCAATTTGTATTACTGTATCAAAGAAGCAAGGGAAGTTCCAAAAGTCTTAGTGCAGTTTTAGAATCTAATGGCTATTCAAAGGAGCTCAATTTAATCATAACCATTTAATCAATATCAAAAATTTAAATAATTCAGGCTTCCTCCCAAAAAATTTAATAATGAAAAAATGTCATTCCAGTTTCATGGCCATACAGGAGGGATACAGTAATAAATTAACAATCAAGAACTTTTTTCTACTTTCCTCACTTTTTTTTTTTGTGAGGCAATCAGGGTTAAGTGACTTGCCCAGGGTCACACAGCTAGTGTTATGTGCCTGAGGCCGAATTTGAACTCAGGTCCTCCTGAATCCAGGGCCAGTGCTCTATCCACTGCATGGGTCACACAGCTATTAAGTACTTTTTTCATTATTATTTAAAATTTTGATATGATAGCTCATAACCTCTTGTTAGACAAATTCTAAATATCAGCTAGTGAAAATCAGTTTGACTAGTATCCCCCCAGACCCCCATATTTTAGCCTTTCGCTGGAATGGTACTGCTAGGCTTAAATTCTCTATTTCCATATTCTTCATTCTTTTTTCTCTGTATCTCATCCCTCCCTCCTTATCCGGTAATTTAGAAAATACCTTGACTTTACCTGTCACATAGATAACAGGGTAGTCTCCCATTGGTATCACACTGGTTTTGTCTCAAATTATATATAAGATCAAGGCTTGAGGATCTCTGGCTTTTCAATTGGAATGTGGCCAATACCTCCCCCAATGTGGTGTCCACTGAGGACATGTAGGCTACCCGAGACCGTCCCTGCTAGCAGCCGTCTGCCTTTGTCCCTTGTGAGTAGCAATAAAGTTTATGAAAGCAATCTCCGTGTAGGATACTTCTTCACCTGGACTCTCTTGTACTACACTAAACTACACTGGCTTTTTCAAGGATTCTAAAATACAGAAAGCAAAGCAACTTGAGAAAATACCAAACTGGGAATTAGCTGTGTAAATTTAGTGAATCATTTCACTACTCATATTCCTACCATATTTTATTTTTTTTTACAGGAATGCATTGGAGGCTTAATAAGAATATCTCTAGAGGCAGCTAGAGTGCTGGACCTGGAGTCAGGAAGATCTGAGTTCAAATAGGCTTGACTTTTTATTAGCTGTGTGACCCAGGCAAGTGGCTTAATTTCTATTTGCCTCAGTTTCTTGATCTGTAAAATGGGGATATTAATAGCACCTACCTCCCAGGCTTGTTGGGAGGATTAAATGAAGCACTTAGCACAGTAAGCACGTAGTGAGTGCTATATAAATGTTAGTTATTAGTTATTATTGTTGCAGCCTCCCTCTTTGGTAACACATTCCCATGTTACCTTCTGTATCTTATATTTTTGCTACAAATATCCAACTTGTAAGTTTTCCATCAAATTTTATACACTGAATTTGCACATGGTGCTCAACGAACAGGCTATTTTACAAGTCAATTAAAATTTTAAACACAAATACACTAAATGGTGGTTAAGTTCCTAGGATAATTCATAAATGGCTATAATTTAATGAGCTACTAGACAGTAGGTCATTTCTAAGTTTTTGTTACTGAAAGCAACAGTGGCCCAGTAGAAAGAGGGTTAGTCTTGGAATCACTTAATCTCTCAGTGCCTCAGGCAGCTGCCTAATCTGAATTTTAGATGAGTTGCCAAACTTATCAGTGGAAGGATTTTCCATGCTAAGAGTTTATTACTATGATTAAATCACGGATGGGTGCCCCCAAATTATGATATGCTGTATGTACAGTAGCTATTAAGAAACATTTCTGTTGATACATATTTATTAATACTCACCTCTTGGTCAGCCTTTTGGTTATCAGCTGGTGATTTAATCCACTCAATGTGTAGTGGTTCTTGGTCTTCTGGGGCAATTGTAAATTTACAAGGCAAATGAACTGTTTCCCCCTTGGCTTTTTCAAACATCCCTTCAGTAGTGGTTATAGTCATACTTCTGGCCATGTCTAAAAAATAAAATTTTGTGTACAGATTAAGCATCTATTAATTGTGTACTTTGTTAAAATACTTGGTACATTATAGAAAAGTATTCAATCTTTAATAGAAAATAAAAAAACCACCTTAAACTGTCAGAATTTTACTGAAACAATATTGAATGATAATCTTAATGGCCTACATGCATGTATTCTACACAATCAAGTTTAAACTTTCTGGATTGCTATCCAAGTGGGATGACAATAATCCTATCAAAAAAGTCCTATCAAATTAAATCACAGACTATTACAGTAATTTGGTCCTAAGAACAGTTTTACAGATTAATGGTCTGATTTTAAACTAATTTTGACATCCTTTTCAGCTCAAGGCTTTACAATATTTAAGTACATGTGGTATACTTAAATAAAATATTACTAAGCAATAGATTTTGCTGACTCCATAATTCACAGAAGAAAAATGTGTCAAAATATACATTTTTTTTAAAAGGTACTCTTCATAAGAATACTATCTCTATATGTGTAAATTCAGATAATGATGAAGATATCTTCCGCAATTTTCCATTGTTTTCCCTTTGAAAATTCATAGGTAATATTTGCTTCATTTTAAAAGTTTTTTAATTGTGAAGCTGGTACTCTAGAATGCACAATGGAGAGTCGAGGGAGTTCTGGAATGGGATACAGAGAAGTAGGTTAAGGGGATGAGAATGAGGACGTGTACAGCTGAGGCTGGGGAAGATGTTTCTGATCAATCAGGTGTTCAGTATCACGGGGATAGGGAGTGTAAAAAAGGATGGTAGTATGCTAGCCACTGGGAATGAGTCCAGGTTCAGTAACAGTGAGGTTTGCTACAGGTAATTATAAGGTTCAAGGCTGAGGATATGAGTCAGCACATCCCTCAGTTACCTGACCTGTCCTGTTGTTAATTGAGGGCAAGCCTAGCCTCATTGCCCAGGTGAGAAACCTAGCAAGTACAGGAGCCAGGAAGTGGTTTGATCAAATACTTATTTTCTAGAATGCAGTCATCTTTAATACACACACACACAGAGCAAGTAAGAAAAATAGGCAAAAGATTTTACTATACTGTAAGTATTAACTCTATGGCACTTTGTCTATCTCAGGTCTAAAGATTATTCGGAGTTTGTTTTATAAGGAGAATATATTCAAGTTTAGACTTTTAACTGGATGTAAAATATCTAAAAAGTCTTGTACCTTCATTGAGGAGTACTTTTTCCCTTCTATTATCTTGCCACTTAGCATCAGGAACGAGTAATCATTATGTTCCAGGTAAGAAATGGTTCCAAACTCTTTTCTGAACCTTTGTTTCCTTCTTGATACTTGCAGGTCAAGTCTGGTTTTACTCCAAGCCCCTCCAGTGTACAGTGGAGGGATTTAAAGAACAATTGATAGAGTTGTGTTGCCATCATTCAAGGAAAAAAACTAAACCTCGGTATCTCCAAAGACAGAGTAAAAGGTGGTACTGAAGAGACCAGGATAGTTGAAAACATCTGGAGTCAAGAAGCAACATGCAGTCAGCACAGAATTACCCCCTCCACATGTGATTCTTAGCCATATTCACTTTTCCCTCTGAGGGGGTATTTATGGGAAAATGAACTCCAAGTTTATGGGGGCCGGTCTGTTATTATTTTTATTACTATAGTATTTCATTACATGTTTTTTCTTTGAACTAAGGGTCCTTTTGGATGACTAAACAAAGTAGGAGTCTGAGCTATAGGGTGGAGAGGGTTGTGTCTCACAAGTACCTGGGATAGCTTTCTGAAGTCCAAGGACGGGCATGGGTGGGGAGATGGTATGCAGGTATGGACTTGAGGAAAGGGAGACTGATTAAACCCAGGAATAATTTCTCATCACACAAATAAATTTATTCACCATACACATGGCGTAGCCATACTGATGATAGTAATTTCTCTCTTGTTTTTGAGACTGCTCCCCACTGTGGGCACTATGACACCAACTAGAGGTAGCAACATTAAGGATTAATTAATGATAGGTGAAAACTGAAAGCAATGCTCACTTTGTGGTGAGCAATGTGGTAATATGAATGCCCAGATAGAGATCAGTCTGCGAAGGGAAAAGTCTGAGAAGGTAATTGAGTGTTGAAGTGAGGACAGGAGAGGTAGGTGTCTGCTAATTCAGGGTGTGATTATATCTGTTTAGCAAACCTGTCAAGTGCCGGGAACATATTAAGTGCCCAATATTTCCTCACACCTTTACTAGAATTTTCTAATAGACGTGTTACACAAATACTGTGTAATTTACCTTGTTCCTCTATTTACTGAAAACAAAAAAAAAATAGATTTTCTTATTTAGGAAAGAACCTAGAGACTTGGAAATATTACAGGGTGAGGATAATATCTTACTTATCTTCCACTAGAGTTTATATGTGATTCTATTATACATATCTGTATTTGACAATGTCCCTGTAGAACAGTCACCAAGTGTTGCTAGGATACAGAATAACATGTTGCTAGGATACGGACTTGTTCTGTATATTACTGGAGCTAATATTCTGCTCTAGAGACAAAATAGAAAACTACATAGAAGTTTTTAACATTTCAGTCTTAGAACTATTTTTATCATAAGTAATTTAAGCCATTACTATACTTTAATTTTGCATTTCTTACAATGAATAAAATAATTGGAGAAATGTATCTGCTTTGTCTGCAAATAGCTTCAACATATTTGCCATTTTTCAAAATAAGCAACAACAAAAAAAGAAATGAACAATATGACATTAGCTTGGAAGTGTTCAGCATTTTAATCAGTCACTTCAGCTTCAGATCAGAAATAATGAACAAGCACTATTAGTCTTGAGATAAAAGAAAAAAAGGAAAAAGATCCTATATGTACAAAAAGTATTTGTAACAGCTATTATTGCCATTCAGTGGCTGAACAAATTATGGTGTGTATGTATATATATATATATAACACTTTAAAAAATAAAAGGACAGTTTTGAGAAACCTGGGAGCACTTATATTAACTGCTGCAGAGTGAAGGAGCAGAAAAAGGAGAACGATTTATACAGTAACAGTATTGTGAAGAAAAATAACTTTGAAAGATTTTAAGAACTCTGACTCCAGAAGGCTGATGATTAAAGATGCTACCCACCTCCTGACAGTAGAGTAAAAGACTTATGTCTGGAATCAGACATACATTTGAAAGTATGAAAAATATATGAATTTGTTTTTCTTGATTATATTCATTTGTTACAAATACTGTTTTTCTTTTTTCTTTGCACCCACAAAAAATAAGATAAGTGACACATTTTATAACATGTATGAAAGAGAACAAAGATAAATTCAGGAAGAAAACGGAAAAACAAGACAACTTTGGTGGCTAGGTGGCACAGGGGAGAGCACCAGCCCTGCAGTCAGGAGGTCCTGAGTTCAAATCTGGTCTCCGACCAGACATTTGATACTGACTAGCTATGTGACCCTGGGCAAGTCACTTAACCCCAATTGCTTTGCCAAAAAACAAAAACAAACAAACAAAAAAAACAAACTGCATACTAGAAAGTAACATGTTGAATTACATTACTTTTTTGAAAGCGCAAGCTGTATTGCAACAGATTCCTGGTTCTACATAACCCTATTTTTTCTGCTCTGCTTTGAATATGAAAGTGTTCTCATTTTTATAGGGATCATTAAATTCTGAATTTAAAGAAAAAATTTTTTAAAAACAGATTATGTACAATGAAGTCAGAAACTAAAAGTAGGTTCTGCTATTTATTTACTTTGATGGCTGCAACTTTTTGTCCATAAAGTGCTTTGTTTTCACATAAAAAAATTCAAGATCTTCTCTTGACTGTCATCTCTGACATTTGCCACTTGAGATTGCCCTCTCTTCTTATCGTGCATTTCCTCGATGACCACTTTTATTCCTGTTCTTTGAAGTTCTCCATTGGTTATATTTTGCAACCTGTTTGTGCTTCTCCACCACCATTTATGTGACAGTCACCTTTAAATTTCTGGAGACTGCTGCCATATAACAACACTAGCAGAATGTCCCAGGTATATACACACTAATGGACAAATACTATAGATTTTCCATCCAAACACATGTTGATATGGGGAAGAGTTTTATGTCCCACCTTTTTTTGTTGTCAGAGGGTCACTGAATGGGGTTATTGTTATATCTTTCAAAGGATTTTGAATGATTTTGATGCACATGTTCTTGGAAAAAATGTGAATCAAATGCTCTTTCACAGTCAAGAAATGAAAAACACAAAGGACTCATATACTCTACATCTTTCAACATCAATGCAAAAAAGGTGACTGCCTGTTTCCCAATGTAGAGTTGTTAATTTTTACCTCAGTCACAACTTTTTTCAACACCTCTGGTATCTTTCTGTCTGAGATACCTTACACATAAATTTTTCTTAAATATAAAGGAAAAAAAATGAACCTGTAAATTGCAAAACTCCAAGAGGGAGAAGGGGAGAAACAGAGACAAAAGAGAGAAAGAGACAGAGAGAGACAGAAAAACATGCAGGCATAGACAGAAAGAACCAGAAATGGATATGATGTAAAAACATCACATATAACATAACACTAACATAACACACTTTTCTTTTTTAAAAAACAAACAGTTATCAAATTGCTGATGTTTGTCTTATCATTAAGGAGACCCAGGATAAAAGGAGCATATATTTTGGTTAGGTCTTGAATGAAAATTTGTGTGGGACATTGATAAATGGTAGAAAGATTTTTCCATTATGTTCTTAAGTAAAATTGTGGCTAGGTGGGGACTGCATCAAAGTGTGATATAAAACTGTGGAGGTGAGATCACAGAATCACACAACTTCAGCGCTGGAATGGGCCTGAGGGGTTATGTTGTCCAGCTGGTACTTCACTGAAAATCTCTTCTATAACATACCAAGTGGCCATATTTTCATTTTTTTGATAGCTCTAAATATTAGTAAGTTTTATTTTACATCAGACTTAAATGTACCTCTTTGTAAATTGTAACCCATTAAGAAGTGATAAGAATACTC